CAACTGCCTTTAAGGGACATTCTCTTTGTAATGGCAAGAGACAGGACACTGCCTTGGCTGAACTGTCCACATCACCATGTTCCTCTTAAAACACTGCACGAGTGAGATGATTCTTGCACTTAGAGAAGAAGTTATTCCAAACTAATCTTTGGTTAGGAAGTTGCACCAGGTAGGTCCCCTCTAAATGAATTTATCCTATCCTATCCTATCCTATCCTATCCTATCCTATCCTATCCTATCCTATCCTATCCTATCCTATCCTATCCATCTTGTGTACCTTTCCACAATGAATCTGGAGGTCCATCACGTGGAGGGATGTAATTCAGGCCCTCTCCCAGAGCAGCCAGCTCTCTGCAAGGAGCTCCCTCAGGAGTAGGTGAGAAGGAGGAATAGGGAATAACCCCTTTCCATAAGTCTTCCCATGGCATCTTCTTGTTTGCTCTGGATCCTTGCTAAAGGTAGGCAGGGTATCAAGGATTTCTCCTTGAAAGGTGGAAGGAAGCAGGAACAGGATGTGCTAGGAGGAAAGCCTGCTCTGCTGTGGTGATCTCAGTGCTGACAGAAGCTATAAGGGACAAGGGAAACTGCCTTCCAGTATGCACTTAGGAAGTGTATATTATAATGGCTGTTAAGTCTTTTACCAGCACTGATTGCAACAGGACCCTTTGGTATCATAGTCACTAAATATGTCTCATGCCCTAAAAACATCAATAGCTGGGCCTCACACAAAGTAGTGGTTTTAGAGCACATGTTTCTAGACATTTCTGGAGACAGACTCCACAGCCTCTCTGGACAATCTGTTCAGTGCTCTGTCCCTGCACAGGACATTTCTGCCTCCTGTCCAGGTGGAACTCACTGGGATCAGTCCCTGCCCGTTCCTCTGGTGCCATTGCTGGTCCCAGAGCAGAGCCTGGGCCCTGCTCTGACCCTCCCTGCTTACAGGGACACCCAGGGCTGAGGGCTCCTCTCAGCTGTGCCTCCTCTGGAGGCTGAACAGCCCCAGCTCCCTCAGCCTTTCCTTGTCAGGGAGATGCTCCAGTGCCTCCATCATCTTTGCCACCCTCCACTGGACCCACTCCAGGAGCTCCATGTCTCTATTGCCAATGAGCCCAGAACTGGACACAGCAGCCCAGATGAGCCTCATTTGGTGTCCTTGCTCACAGTCCTTGCTCCTGGGTCTGGACATCTTGTCATCCACCACGACCCCGAGGTGCCAGAGGATTCTGTTTCCTCCCCAGCTCAGGAGCATCCATGGATGCTGCATGAATGTCCAGCTGCATGAATGTGCCATGTTTTAGTACTTTCACCCTAACCACACCTCTCAAGTTTGTTACTTAAGCCATCACAGTGTCTTCTCATCTGAGTGACTCACTGAAGAGAGCTTGTTTTGGGAAGATCAGGTCCTGAAGGATCCATGCTGATTTTTAATACACTACTGGTTACAAAATGACAGGTAAAAATTTTGTTCCATTATCTTTCTGGAGATCTAAATCAGGTTTATGGACCTTTATGCCCTGGGTCAGATGTGTGATGATTGATTTTTACCTTATTACACTACTTTTCTCCTCTTAGGAGTGACTAAGAAATGAGTTCTTGTGGTTTCAGTTGCAGAAATCACTACAGGAAAGACATTGAGGGGATGGAGCAAATCCAGAGAAGGGAACGGAGCTGGGGACGGGGCTGGAGCTCAGGTCTGAGGAGGAGCAGCTGAGGGAGCTGGGGGGGCCCAGCCTGGAGAAAAGGAGGCTCAGGGGGAACCTTCTCACTCTTTACAACTCCCTATAAAGAGATTGTAGCCACATGGAGGTCGGTCTCTGCTCCCAGGTAACAAACAATAGGACAAGAGGAAATGGCTTCAAGCTTTGCAAAGGGAGGTTTAGATAGGACATTGGCAAAAAATTTCTTCACAGAAGGGGTTATCAAACATTGAACAGGCTACTCAGGGAAGTGTTGGAGTCACCATCCCTGGAAATACTCAACAAATATGCAATTTTATTTCTTAGGGACATGGTTTAGTGGTGGACCTGGCAGTGACAGGTAAATATTTGGACTCAATTCTATTAGAGGTCTTTTCCAGACTTAATGATTCTCTGATTTCCTGACCCATTATTCATGGTAAAGGAGTCTTTTTTGAGTAAGGGTAATGGTTCTGCCCACTTCCTTATTGATAACAACACTGGATTAACTATTGCAATTCTTACTTGGACCTGTGCTAATTATTTCAGAGTGTAGTAAGTAATGTTCCAGCACTCACACCTCTGCCCTGCCATTGCTTAATTTGCTTTTAGAGCTGACTCCAGCTGAGAGGTCAGTGTGCCATGGAGGGGAAAAATGGTGGAGATGAATGAGGAAAAAAAAACCCAACACAAATAATAAGCCCTTTGAGTTGTGAAATCGAACTTTTAACTTAATACTTGTCTTTCACACTAGAAGAAATGCCACTGGAATGAAGGAGTCAAATGTGTGATGAAATTATTCTGTGCTAAGGGCTCTGAGACTTGAAATCTTAATTATGACAACAGCTTCCTTACTAAAAGGGGACTGGAATGTGCAACCTTTGTTAGGTGAGACTGAAATAATATTTGACCCCATTGTTAACTACACAGAAAAGCACCTGTATCCCAAAGGTCACTGAGTGGGGATTGCAGGTTATTTATGCTAAATGTTATTTCTCTCTGAAAGGGAGTCTGATGGAGGGTTGCTTGCCTGACTTCTGGTTTTGCATAGGAAATCTTCTCACATAACCTGATTCTGCTCATGCTGTTAAATATTTAGGCTCCCTTCAACACCTAATGCTAATAAAGTCACAACTTTGGTGCAGTTTAGAGAATTTTATTTCATGGTAATAAGAAAGAATGAAAATTATGATGAACTGGTCAGTGAAAAATGAGTAATTTAATGACTGATACAGCAAAAGAAGATATTTTTTAAAAATTGAAACACGTCTACTTGTTATGGAAAACAAAGTTTCCAAATGCAGGGGTCTTCCCCCTTTTGTCTATCTGTTATTGTGAATTAAGCCCTTTTCTCAGACAGTCCTTTTTCTTTACAAGGCAGGTTTGGTCACCTATATTTAAATGTAATCTTATACTATAAACAGGATTCTTAATTTAAATTAACTACATTTGGTTTGGTTTTTGGGGGTATTTTTTGTGTTTTTTCACAACTGAGCATTTTATAGTAGAACATATGTCAGCAACAGATTCTAAACCAGAATAGATCTACAGGAAACTGCTCTGCTCTCCTAATTTCTTTTAAGAATTACGTATTTCAAGCAATATTGTTTATCTTCTGGTCCTGTTAATCATAGTTTAAATTTTCAATCAATTTAAAAGTAGTTACATGACCAAGCATTATCCATCTATGCTAAGAACATAATAAACATATGGAAACACAGACCTTTCAAAAATGTTTATTAGATAACATTCTGGGAAAAGAAAGATGAGAAACGCTAATAATTAAATATATCTGGCAAACAAACAACAAATTTAAATTAAGATTTCTACCATGCTCTAGGCCATTATATAAATAGAATATGTACATCATGCTACAGATTTTTCTTGTGTGAGTCACTGTACTGAAGTCAGTCCTTCTGCATATGTTGGAGAGGCAGGATGGAACTGGTGTTTGTGGAAGAATTCATTAAGGAGATGGATATCCAGGAAGGCAGAAGTTGAGCCTGTTATTTTATTTCAGTTCTGCATTGACAGGAGCAGAGCAGTGGACTTGATGAAGCTCTGGGCACATCCTGGACAGTTTGCCAGGAGTGTTGGAAAAAAGCATCTTCAACCTTTCAAGTCTTGGCTGAAAATGATTTGAAACACAAAATTAATTGTGAGTGGGAAGTGAAAACTCACATCATGTCCTTTCAGAATAATTTTTCATCAACATTATTTTCTCTCTAATGTTTTCTTCTCTGTTGTTATTTACTCCCCAGCAGCATCCCAACCACTACTTTGACCATGCATTATTTTCTAATAAGTGTTGTTCTCAAGGAGATTTTTTACTTATCCATAAAGGCGTTTTAAAGCTTTCTTTCTTTATGCTGCAGCCTGTGATGAGAATTTGGTTAATTCAATAACAGAAGATATTAATTAAATCTTGCATTGTGAGACTCAGCCCATATGTTTTTATTTCCTGTTAGAAGTCTAAAAACTCAGGTTGCCACTTGCTCTTATCAAATATGTTGCTATTTCCATTTATCTGCCACTGTTGTTTAAAGGATGTAAGAAGAAAAAAAAAAGGTAAAGAAGTCCCCTCCTTCCCTAGAATTTCTTAGGTTCAAGGATAAGATTTATCTCTCCTGGGCATGGAAAAGTGTTATCTCACCTAGGTAAAGCAGACAGCATAGTGAAATGTAATTCTCTGATAGTGCTTTTGGCCTAGTATTTCAGCAAATATTTTTTTTTTTAAAATCTGTTTGAATAAATTAATTGCTGTTTAGAAGTTTTTGTTAAGCATTATCTTTACCGAGATCACAATTAAAATGCTTGGAACTTACTGCATAATCCATCCTCACAAGCACTGGGGCAATCCCCACAGGGCTCTCCTTCCTTGTAGGGTGTCTTCATTGAACTTATCAGGTTTCCCCTGAAACATCAATGTTACCAATGTCAGCTGTGAAGTCACTGCACCATATCTGAGAGGAAAATTAATCTGTAAAGATGTTTAGATTTACACTCAGTTACTTATGTAACTTACTGGGACATTTACACTCGGTCCTTGGTTATATGTCAATTTTTTCATGTCTGCTGGCTTTACATGGAAATGCTTCTGCAGTGGGCAGAGAGGGGGAGGAATTTGGAGGGGTGGCTTTTGTGAGAAGACACCAGAGGTTGTCTTTGTTCCAGACAGGGCCAGTGTTGCCCAGCTCCAAGTTGGACCCATGTGATGGTGATCGTGGCTCTGTGATAACACATTTGAGGGAGGATAAATTCTGCATGTAACAGCAACCAGAAGAAAGGAGTGAGAATGTGTGAGAGAAATCACTCTGCAGACACTCAAGTCAGTGCAGAAGGAGAGGCAGGAGGTGCCCCAGGCACTTGAGCCGAGATTCCCCAGTGCAGCCCATGGGGAGGCAGCTGTGTCCCCTGCTGCCCATGGATGTCCATGAAGACACAAAGATCCACCTGCAACCTGTGGAGGACCCACACTGGAGCAGGAGGATGCCTGAAGGAGGCTGTGATCCCATGGGACACCCTCACTGGATCAGGCTCCTGACGGGACTTGTGACCCTGTGGGGGACACACATTGCAGCATTCCTATCCTGAAGGAATGGAAGCATGGAAGGAATCCATGCTGGAGCAGTTTAGGAGGAACTGCAGCCTGTGGGAAGGACCTACACTGAAATTCTTGGAGGACTCCCTCCTGTGAGAAGGACTCCACAATGGGGTGGGGGAAAAGCATGGGGAAGAAGGAGTGGCAGAAATGGCACAAGATGAACTGACCAGAATTCCCAGTCCCATCCTGTTGTGCTGCTGTGGGGGAGGAGGTAGAGAAAATCAGGAGTCAAGCTGAGATTGGGAGGAAAGTGGGGGCTGGTGGAGGGTGCTTTAGATTTGGTTTTACTTCTTATTATCCTAGTCTGATTTGATTAGTCACAAATGAAGTTAATTTTCCCAAACTGAGTCTCTTTTTCCCATGACAGTAAGTGGTGAGTGAACTCCCCTGACCTCATCCTGACCCATGAACTTTTTGCCATGTTATTTAACTATTCCATCCTGTTGAGGAGAAGAGTCAGAGAGGCTGGGTGATCTACTGGTGGTCAGCCAAGGTAAACCCACAAGATATTGTGAATATGGAAATTAATTTTAGGCACTATTTGAAGTCATCACTTTACCTTAACATTCCCATTAAAGTTCTTTATTATTAATTATAGTCTTCACTGTACTGTTCATATTGATATGCCTTTCTGAACCAACATTTCAAGTAGAATGTGCAAAATATTTCTAATTAACTATTTTGAAAGCTAGGATTTTTAGGCAAGTGACAATCTGAAAATTAGTGTCCCTTTTATATATTTTATGCTTTTTCTTGTTTGACAACTCTTTTAATGAGTATATTTCTGTCCTTTCATATTCCTAATAGAGACTTCAAACCTGTTTCTCAGCTGTTGGTGGTGTGCCCTGATACATATTTCTCTAACTCCTGGCTAATTTTGGTAATGTAATAAGTACCAAAATCAAAATCAATACGTACGCGGGGCAGTACTGGCAGACATAAAAGTAACTGTACGTAGTGTTGCTGCAGAAAGCAAAACCACATCCAATTTTATTAGAATTGTGCCAAACCATCTGTAGGTATAAGAATAAAAATAATGGGAATATGAAAAATATACATTTGAAAATCATTTAAAGAAAATATGCAACACAGAAATGTTTGCAGTAATGTTAAGTCACTTTATTTATCCTTTGTATTAAAAATATGAGGCCCATTTTATTGAAAATCTGCCTTCACCCCTATTCAACCAAAGAATATTGGGGATAAAACAATAATAATTCAAGACAAATGTTTATAAAACCTTTGATTTTGTATTTCTATCTTAATTCAATTGAAACTGTCAATGTAGGAATGATGTCGTAAAATTTTGTATCCTGTGTTTTGTGCAGTTACTGTAGAAGTTTAGGATAAGCAATTGTCCAGCTCCTCTGAGTCAAAAGAACTTTGTTGACTACAACAAACCTGTTTATATTTCCTTGCCGATACTTTAATAACCCTGCTTTTCCAGTGTCTGGGCAATTCTCAGATGGTAAACAAGTTGTTGCTTCCTGAAGTCTTGAAATACCAGTATCTTTACTCTTTACTCCTACATACACTTAGACTATTATTTTCATTTTAATTTTGTTACTTTACCTCTTATTTTCACTCTAATTATTTTCCTTTGAATTTTTTCATCTTGTTTAATTAGAATAACTCCCATGTCTCCATTATATTTATTTCCTTTAAAGATGAGAAGTAAAACTTGCTTAGCTAACATTTATTTGTTCAGCCTGAAATATAAATATATATATAAAAAATACATCTACCTGAGTGTAATGGCCAAACATTGCACCTTTCATTTTTGCCCCAGTTCCATATTCAAAATTCTTCTCCTCATTGTACCAGGCCTGAAGAACATCTGACCATGAGAATGGGGCAGAGGACATGAAGAGATTTTCACCACATAGTACATCTGAAAAGAGAGTGGTGCTGAGAAATGCATAGAGAATCCACACACGAGACAAAAAAAACCCAACAAAACAAACCAGCAAAAGCTGGGATGACTTCCACAGACATTCTCATCCTAAATGGGACAGCGGGATGTTGTTTTTTTCCAGCTGACTGACATCATCCTTTGTAAATACTGAAGGTGTCACTTGGCCACTTTGCAGCACGACCTGTTTGGCTGGTGGTTGGTTGTTGGCAGACATTCTGCAGGAACACCTGCACAGGTTCATGGCTGTAATTTTGCTATTTGGAAGTTGCCAACATAATCATTACGCAGGTCACAGCCCAGTAATCTTGGCAAAATCCCAATAATCCAAATTTTACACGTGGCAGAAAAGAAGGTCTCTATACTGCATTTATCTACTGTTTTAATTCAGGTTTAACCCCACTGCATTGGTCCTCAGTGTGCACCCTGGCAAAAGCCAGAGGATTTTGATTTTAGGAAAAAATATTGACAGGACTGTCTGCATCTTAGATATGGTATGGGCAGAAGTCAATCAACAGCATACTGGGCTATTAACATGGTACAGCTGTAAATTCAATATCCAGTGACTGACTGAAGTGTTAATCTGAATCTCAAAGACAGTTTTAGGTTGTAATTTGCCAGGGGATTTAAAAGCTCAAAGTCTGGTCTGAGAAGCTATGCTTAGCACCACCAGCCAGTTTTACACCTTTGCCTTTTGCCCCTTTCTTCCCAGACATTTCAAACCAGCACATGTGAACTGGTTTTTGAACTTATTGCTCTAGACCTCTAGATTTGGAGTTTTTGAATGGATATTTTAGAAGAGTATGCTTTATCACTATAATTTATTTTTTTCATCTAATGTAGAAACAGGATATGCTTATGTAAAACTGGGATGAAAATGGGATTGAATTTTTCTCACTTGCTGGGCAGATTTCTACCTAGAAATTTCCCTTTGTCACATGACAAAAAAAAAAAATCAATATGGAATTAAAATTGCATCTCATTTCCCCCCAACAAGCAAAACCCCAAAGTGGCTACATCAATAACTTGTGATGTTGCTCAATTCCACTCATGCTTCACTTACTAGTTCCCCTCAGATTAGGAGGACTGTGGCTTAAAGTACATTGATTGGCCCAGTTTTGGGCATTCTCTGCGGCTGCAGGACACCATTCCTTAAAGAAAGAAGAAAATATCTGTCACATACCCATGAATAACCCCTCATACATGTGCCTCATAAAGGAACAACTTAGAAATTACATTTAAATAAGAAAAAAGTCAAATGCAAAACCCTTTTCATCCTATTTTTTGAGGGGAGAGGGCGGTAGGAGCAAAGTCTCTGTGCACCAAGGGAATAGAAACTGTGAAGCCTGGTGAAGAATGCATCAGAAAGAAATTAATTATGCTATGAATCTTTCTTCTTATTTTAATTGTACTTCACAAGAGACATTACTGTTGATACACCACCAAATTTTCTTCCACCTGCCCAGCCTTATGTTTCTCGTGGTGTTGGCTGTGCTCAATCCTTAGAAAAGGTCTGGAGAAGGAATTTGTGGCAAAATAAAATACTGTGACCCTGCATATAGTCCTGTATCTCTCATAGAGTCCACTACACATTAAAAATAGATTTACAGCACAAAAACTTACCATCTTCATCATGTTGCTGGCAGTTGGCTTTACTCCTCTCCTGAGGGCATTATGTCTGTCAACAATCAACTTTTGCTGCTCCGTTCTGCTGCTTGACAGAGAACTGAGAGCTTCAGTTTCCTAAATTGAAAAATAAATTTGCTGTATTTCTCTTTTGTTTGAATGCTACTAAATCCTGCATTCTGTGTAGGAAATATTAAAATACCACAATTTTATTATCAACCAAGGAGATAATCTCAGTGGGGGAGAAAGGACTGTGGTCCTCTTTGTCTCCTAAGTGTCTCCAGGGGTGCTTCCATATGGAGCAGCATTTCATTGGTTCCACAATGTAGAGGTTAGCAGTAATAACACAGATTCCTGTATTGTATCTTCCAACTCTCTCTGGAGGACTGAATTATCCTGGAATGCCTCTGTGCCTGTAGACTCGTACATTTAGGCAACAGAACCAGTCTTATTTACCAATATAATTTCCTAGTGAGGTTTTGTGGAATGGGGAAATAAAAATCATCAGAATGTATGAATTGTGTTCATGATGTGTTTCTCTTCTGTCTTGTTTTAAACATCAATGTTTTTCTATTGAAGAAATCAGTTGTTTAACACAGGATCATCTCAGACCTCTTGTGGTATTTCATCAGGACATCCCCCTGAACAGAAAATGTTTGTACCTTTCATGCCTTAGATTTTCTTCCAATTCTGTCATAACTGATAAAATTTCACATGCTCTCTAATTAAAAAATAGCCATGTGAGGAACTCAGCCTCCTCATTACATCCATTCTCAGCTAGTCTCCACTGCAGCATTGCGAGGAGAATCTGAAGAATTAGGGGGAAGTGCAGTCAAGGCATTGGTCACATCCAGTGTTTCTGATGCAAAAGCAGCAAACTTCAAACTAAATTTGGGTTGGGAGGAACCACTCTGTGTGTGCATTCAGAGTGTTAATTTGGCTGATGGAGGGAAATCAGGGATAAGGGCTGAGTGGATGTGATTGTGAGCAAAGGGAGAGGCAATACATCAGGACCTGTAGGATGAGAAAGGAAGGGAGGTAAGTAAACCTGTGTGAAATTAATGGGAAAAATATTTGATCTTTAGGATGTCCAGATTATTGGATTTATGTATGGAAACTTCTGGAAAATACAAGTAATGCTGAATCTTTAGATTTTTTTTTTTTTGTGCAAATGTGGAACCAGGCAACTGCTTTGAAATGAATCAGACTTCAAGGATAAATGTTTTCCAGATCCTAAATATCTTATCAGACTCTTTCTGCATATGTTTGGTGTGCATAGGAAAAGCCATAATCAGTTGGTCTACAAGTGCCTCAGGGCCCACCCACCCAAATTTTACAAATAAGAGATATGTATTCTACCTGTCCAGTGGATGGAGGCAGCACAGCTGTGAGACACAGGAACAACACTGACAGAATCATCTCTGAAAAGGTGAGAATGAGGAATTAATTTTCTATTTGGAGAACTTTCATTTCTCTGAATATGAAATACATCTTTCTCCTGCATGTTTGCTGGCTTTTGCTCAAGATCCTCCCTCCCTCCCCATCCATTTTTAGAACTAAAATAATAAAATTAATTCTCTCTCTTCATTTCCAAATTTCTATGAATCAACTGCTTTTTACATCTCAGACTTCCTGCTATAGCCGTGATGGAATATTTCCACAGGTATTCACAGGGCTTTTTGTTGCCCTTCCTCCAGGAAGACTATTGCTCATTTTCAAACTGCAGAATGGGATGGGATGCTGCTCTCAGCCTGTTCCTGTGCCTAGGTGAATCTGAAAATTCCCCTCCTCCCCTTTGCCTGCTCTGACTGGAGTGCTTTGGTCGAAAGGGGAATTAGAGACTGAGTCCATCTGGTCTTTGCAATCAGGTATAGGAGTCAAAATCCAAAACCTGTTCAAAGCCTGATGACCAGCACTATGAAATTTTGCATCTGAGCAGGAGCAGAACTGGGAAGGACTTGATTCAGTAAGATTTTTTTTGTTTGTCTTTATCTGTTTTAAGACTATTCTTGATTATCTTACTAGTAATAAGAAATGACAACAGAAATTAGAGCCTTTTCTAACATTGTGATTCTTGATATTTCCTATGCAGGGCCAGGAGTAGGACTTTGATGATCCTTGTGGGTCCCATCCAACTCAGGTTATTCTACAAATATCTGATTCTAATTGAAGAATAATACACCAGACCCTGGACTCCAAGACTCCACTTGCCTGGGAGGCTGAAACACCACTCCAGCAACCAAGGAGGTCACTGCAAAGTTCAGGTATCTGCAATCAGTCACATAAATTACATCTAGCTTGTTTCTGCTCACCTACCTCTGGCAGGCGAGCAGGTGACTAGAGTGGAATTTACTTGTTCTGGCAATTTTCCCAGCCTCCCACTCTGAGGGAATTTATGGGCATGTTACCACAGAGGTATATTATTAGCTTAGCTTATTTGGTTTTGAGGGGCTGCTGATTTTAGTTTTAAATTATTCTTGGGGAGAGGCCAGTAGGGTTTGCTGATCCTTTCATATTCAGCAAAGCCCCTTTGCCTCGAGGCAACCAGTTTATACAAAACACAGAGTGCTCTGGAGAACACTGGTACTTGTGGAGAACATGTGGTTAAAAAACCCCTATTATTTTCCAGGTGTTACAGCAAGGTTCCAGTTCTTCACCAGCCTCTTACCTTGCTCTGGGGGTGACCCACAGTGCCCAGCCTTAAGCAGGGATGCTGCTCCAGTTCTGCTAAACAACAAAGCCCATGGACTGTGACTGTGGGCAGCTGGAGTTCAGAGGCCAAAAAACTGGAAAGACTGGTCACATCTGTCCAATTAAACTCTCACAGCCTTCAAAATAGGGTGGCTTATTCCAAGCACTTGTATTTGAGGGAAGATCCAGTTGATCCAGGGGAAAACATATGGATACTTAGTAGAATAAGTAATTGATGTCCTGTTCTTAGTACTGCTTTATATCCCTTACTTTTAATTTTGACATCACCTGTGCCTCCTTGAAGTGCTTTAGAATCACAGAATCTTTTTCTTATTAACTTCTCTAATGTGTATTTCTCAGAGCTGTTACAAAACTTTGCATTTTTTCTGACTTAGGTGTTTAGCAACACAAGGTTATACTCCCAATATCATGAAAAAAGATGATTTTCACTTAATTTCTAACTAGAAAGTACATAGAATTTGGGCTATTTTTAGCTGTATGCAAGTTACAATCAAAAATATACTTTTTGAGTTCAAAACATGATGAGATGCTAGTAGAAAGCAACTCTTTTTGTGCATAAAACATATTAAAGGGAAAAAAACTCTTCACTGAAATTATAAAGCTTTCTATTTTGCAAACCAACCTGAAGAAGCTAACTTACTTAGAGACACGGGCAAAGTATTCATTCACTGAAATATTTTCTATGAATTAACTTACAATTAAATATAATTGGTAAGTTAATACATGATACAAGTTTCAAAATGCCATTGGAATGCTTTTTAAGACCCAGTGGGTTTCCCACTCCAAGATATTAACATACTTTTGGCAATCCCACTGATTTCAACCAAATGCTTACAGTTTATGAGATGTAAATTTAATTGCTCTGCATTAATTTCTAGGCACTGGTCCTAAAATCAGTCTCTCTCTCCCCCTCCCCTGCTCCCCCTCAATCAAACATAAATCAGGACATGTGCCAAGTCGTACTGACTTTCCTGCAAATCCATCTGTATACCAGGATCTGCCACTGAAAGATGGTGCTTTAGCATCCCTAGTTTGTATGAGTTTGGCAAACTCATGAGAATATGTTTTTCCCATCTCTCCTTCTAAATTAAAAAATAAAAAGGTGTATCCTAAATTATTCATTCAGTTGGATAGCCATTACAATAAAAGAAACTCAATTATTTTTTATTATCTTTGAAAAAGACCTGAAATAGAATAAAGTTCCTGTTATTGCACTTGTGCAGCATTATTGCACAATGGCTACTTAGCAGCCAATTTGCAGAAGAGGAGTCAATTAAACAGGGTGGTAATTTTCCCACTCTGAAAATAGGTGGTGATGGAAACATGAACCAATAGAACTTACCAAGGTGACTATATATACCATTCAATGTTTTTTACTGTCTCTCTGTCCCTTTCCCTACACAGATATAATTTACAAAGATGTTGCTCTCTTGATACAGGTGGCTTTTCTGGTATTTTTAATTGTTCATCCATTTTCTCTACCTGTTTGTTTTAGCTCTTTTTGCTCTATTCCCTATTTAATCCTTATTTTTCACTGAATAAAGTCCTCTTCTGTGACTAACTTTTCAAAAAGTCTTCTGATGATAGGTTCTATTTCAATACATGAAAAAAAATCACAATATTTTAAGCCAACGAATCAAGGCGAATCCTACCTTTTGTTTCCTCAAAGATCAGAAGTTTCTTCTGTCCTTGATCAGGTAGTTGTGGAATTGGCTGGAATTCTTCACTGGAGGGTTATTTATAGCTCTCCTGTTTCCTGATAGGACAAGGTGATTCAACGTCACCTTGTATTACAAAATTCATGTAGTGACCAGATAGAACAGCATATTTTTCAAGCTTAAATTAATCCAAAAGTAAGGTTGTTTTCTTGTCTTCCATTTTAGTTTCCTCTTACTTTTTGTACTGGAATAGATGGAATACTCTGGAATGATTTTTTTATGCATTACATCTTAAATTTGAAATTTGCAGTCAAGGGGCAGGCCAGGTACAACACACTCTGCTAATGATTGACACATCCAGTTGTAGTAACATTTGATCCAAATCTCCAGCAATGCAAATAAACTCAGCTAGCTACTGAGTTTATTATTATTATTCTTATCATTTAACAGTGCCTCCAGACTGACATTGTTGTAACCAAGATGGAATCTTGCCCATTGATTTATCCATGGGAGTTTAAAAAGTCTTGGGCCAAGTTCCTGTTCATGCTGGGGCTTCTTTATTTCGGTCCTATAGTGTAAAGGCCAAAAGAGGAGACAAGGATGCTTCTGTAATTTATATTTTTAATCAATATTGGATAAAGATTGAAAGATTACCATGTAAGCTAACATTCAAACACGTATTTGTTTTGGCATTTCCGGGTACATGGGGTGAGATGGGATGGATGGGAACACTGCCAGATCAGAAAGACCTTTGCGTGTGCACTGACTGCTTCTGTCCACATTCAATCTTCAGTAACTGCTGACCAGAGCAGCTGTCACTGCTTTTATGTCAAATGTTGCTGTTTTTCTATTTAAATTCAGACCTCCCCTGCTCATAATTACTCAGCTCCTCACTGAGAACTCATGTTGTGCCTTCAGAACAGGTCTTTGCTTTTCCACACCTGGGAAAGCAGCACCTTGGCCCTGCCAGATGAAATGACTGTGGGGTGGTTGGTGGTTTGTAATTATGTGGAGAGAAACACATGGTCAGCAAGTTTGGGTTTGACACCAAACTGCAGGGAGCGGTCCATATGCTGGATAAAAAGCTATCATTCAGATGAATCTCAAAAAGCTGGAGCTGTGATTTGACAGAAGAGATCTGAAAGCAAACAACTGGGAGACACCAATTATCAAGGGAACAGCTCTGTAAAAATACATTAGGGGTTGGACTTGGTCACAGAATCTTTTGGGTTGGAAGGGACCTTGGAGATCATTTACTTCCAAGCCTCCCACCATGGGCAGGGATGATCTGAGAGGTCTTTTCCAATGTAAATGATTCCATGAGAAGTTGCACAAGAGTCATCATGAACAACGAACTGCAGTAAATTAGCCACTGCATATTGCATGAACTGAAAATAGTGA